GACTATTTCACAGTACTCACCTCACCTTTTTTTTCTTCCTTTGCGTCTGTCTCCTTTTCTTACATCTGTGAATCACTCTTCTCTTCCCCGTTCCTCTCGACTTTATCTCACTTTGATTTCCCTCCCCCCTCTGTGAAGCCCGAAGTCAGCTAAATGGCTAATGATGACTATCAAAACGCCTACCATTTGAAATAAATAATAAATAAATAAATGTTTGGTATTCTTCATGTTGTGCTTTCTCCAAAGCTATTAATCAGTTTGTCTTTACTCATTTACTATGTTATTTCGGTGAGTTTAATCGTTAATTCTCAAGCTTACTGAAGAAAGTATTTACTGCCATCATCTTGGGCAAATGAGTGGAAACATAGAACCCTCCCCCCCCTCCCCCACCTCCTCAGATGAGAAATTCGAATTTAATCAATGAGTTCGGTCATTTCACTCATTGAGAGGTATCGAAATACCAGCATCGTCATATGAGCACACTAACATTTGTTCGTCTTTGAGGAACTGAAGGAGATTTTTCCCCAACCTAGACTACTTCCCGATGGAGTAGAAACCAATCTTAGGACTGAAGACCATAGTAGCCGACTGGGGCTTTAAAAACTAACCTAAGTGCCATCATTCAGAAATTAAGGCGCTATTTTATTGGGTTATAAAGTCCTACCGTTGTAAAATGCCTCCGAGACTGTCTGGGGTCGTTTATTGACGTGCAAGCTCCTTGTGAGCTTTGTTGACTGCATGGTTTTCTTAGTATTATCCTCTTGCGTCTCCTTTATTTCCGCGTTCGTTGAAACTATCCCTCCCACACCCTGATTTTCATTGATCCCAATGGAACTTGTGTCAGTTCTAGTAGGGGAGTTAATGGATTTTTTAACAGATTTAGGAAAGAATATTTGATCCCCAGGTGATTTTGGCGTAGACTTCTTGAGCACTGGCGTTTTATCAGGATTTAGGGTATGCGAATGCAGGTGCTTGGGAGACTTGAGGCATTTCTGTGGAATGGGACTTTTATCGACTCCATTTACAGCGATGAATGCATCTGGCGTCGGTGATGGAGACAGCTTCGAAAGACTGGATACTACTTTGGGTATTTCTGGAGAAGGCGTCACATTTTTAGTTGGGGATGGTATAATAGTCAATTTTGTGTGATTTGTTTCAAGTGCAAGATTATGAGGTCGGGTTATAGGAATTGGATTTATTTTCAGGTCTTCTTCAAGTCTAGGTCTGGGTGTTACTTGAGAATCAGGTTTTATTGTCTCCTCTATTGATAAATCGGAAATTATAAAATTCCCTCTACTGCTATATCGTCCATGCTCTGATTCTTTCCTAACGACAAGACAGTCATTGAAATGGGGAAGTTTTGCGCTCATTTGGTGCGATATTTCAGCAAAATCGATTCGAGGAGGCGGGATCAAACTTATTTCGGCTTTTGCACCAGAAGCATTCAGCTCCTTCAGCTGTTCATCTTCTTGTGACATTTGACTTGGTGCGGTTGTCATGTCTAAGGAGGTGTTCACAGAGTTGGATGCTGTGAAATTTAGGCTTATTCCACTGGAATCAGAAGAGTTTGATTCACCTGCTTGAATCGATTTTCGAAATTCCAGTAAAGTTTGGTTGTCATTCCTCGTAAACAGCTCCTTACCGGTCTTATTAAAATCTTCCAAGTCCTTATTATTCGGCTTTCGGGTGATTGGATAATAACTAACATCTGTAATTCCACTTGTATCATTGTCGCTAATTGGTCTATTTCTATCCCCAGGACTGTGTGTGGTGTTTGACTGGATAGATGAACAACTCCCACCTCTACCATTTTGATGGTGGGCTAAAACTCCGGACTTAGAGGAAGCCAAATCAACAATACGAGGGGTGGTGGAAGTGATTCCATCTTTGGCCTTGCTGAATACCTGCTTTGATAGAGGTGAACAAGAGAATGGGGATGTAGGACTTTGCACCCCGTTTGCAATATCTCGGTTCCTCCTCAATATTATAGAGGGCGGTGATTTAATCTTCAGCTTTCGTAAATGTCTATCTGAATTACGGGAGATTAGTTCAGTATCTTCCTTCTGGGTGCCTTCTTTCTGAATAGTTTTCTGTGGGGAAGGAGATGGTTGCATTTGATATTTCAATGGGGCCTTGCTTGTGACTGATAACCAGTTGTAATTGCCATCTTCATCTTCATCTTCCCGGACCAACCCTTCATTCTGCTGATTCTGAGTAGTTGGGAATTCTTTGCTCTCCACAGAGCCCTTGGCGCTCAATTTTTCGGTCACTTCTGATTGACACTTTGAGATTCTCACAGGAGTAGATCTCTGCAAATCACCATCCTTATCTGGAATATGTGTGGGCTTTTTAATAACGGGTTCGTAGAGGCCTTCACTCTCCATATTAAGACTCTCATCTGACTGTTGAAGGGACGTATCATATTCTAAGTCAACCTGATTTGAAAGTCGTGTTGAATCTTGATCATCCCGATACCAGAAAGCAGCGTCGGAAGTCTGCTGTTTAACTTCAATTTTCAAAACATCGGAACTATTTGGAGACTCGTTGAATACAGTAGGAATGGTAAGCGGGCTGGTACACTTATCACTTGTTTCAACGCTTCGAGGAGTCAAAACTAGAAAAATTAAATGAAATAAGTATTTAATAACTTGAATTAAATAAATTAGTCGTATTAACTTAGATTGGGTCTGATAATAATAGAAGATCAATCTTAATCACTTTAGGGGCATTACATTTGAACATTGTTATTTGTCCAGCCAAGGTTCTCTGTCTTGGAGTATCAGTACTGTCTGACCATGCATTACAACCACGTCATTCTGTTCTCTTTTCAAAGAATTTCAACTAGAAATCTGGTACTTGCAAATGATTTCTCCTTCACTTCCTGACTAATAGGTGTGAATTGGAAGTGTGTCGAGGGAAGAAGAAACCAAACACTTTGAATGGCTACTTATTTAGCCCCAAGTTTTGAAAGAACAAGATGAGTATGCAACAGATACTAAACTCATTCTAAATTGGTACCACATATTGCATAATCGATTAAAGATCCACTCACACAGTGATGCTGTCTCCACCTTTCCAATAGACATGAGAAAAGGGCGTTGATCGGATGCACATGGAGGAGGTGATTTGGGGTAGGGTTTTATGAATTCAGCCTGGAGACATGTGGTGCGGAGTACAGGTCTAGGAGTTTTCTACGAATTACACAAAGAAAAAAAACCGCTTTAGTCACTGGGCACATCAAGTCGGACATGAGTGAAAATCAAAATATTTGGGGCATATTTTTACTTACAGGATTTCGATTTAGTGCTACAGGTTGAGTGCCTTTGAGAAAGATGGAAAGTTTATTACATTATTATTATTATTACAAAAATTCATAAATTAGCATCACTAATAAAAAAATCTAAAGTTTGAAATCAACTTACAACTATAGGTGGTTATATAAGGACTTGTGGATACTTCGATAGATCGAATTTTGATTACCCTCTCGTCAGGATGAAATGGTGTTTGCTGGGTGGTTGTCTCCTTGGTTGGGGAGGTGACCTAAATGAGTTTGCATAAATGCTATTAATGCCAAAAGGTTAATTGATGAATTCATAATAGTGACAGCCTGGTTATTCGAAAAAAATTTCATGATTACTTTTTTTGCAACTTTAAACATGATCTGATATACACAATGGGAAGTGGGGTGTGCGATAGACTTACCTCCACGTGGTGTACCCTGGGCAACGTATATTCATACGACAAAATAGTCTATTGACTGGCAATTGACTTCTCACTTCAAACTACCATCACCCCACTCTATGCCATGTTCGACTACTTTCACAGTACTCATCTCACCTTTGTTCTACCTTTGTGTTTGTCTCTTACATTTTTGAAACACTCTTCCGTTCCACCATCTCGACTTTTTTCAATTTGATGTTCCTCCCCCTCTGTGAAGCCTGAAGTCAACTAAAGGGCTAATGATAACCATTAAGACGCCTGCCATTTGATATAAATAAATAAATACAATGGGAAGTTCTTATTCAAAGAACGCGATTATTTTTTTTGCATTTT